TAACGTAGCCGATGCCTACGCTTATCCCATCTAACTTCAGGCACTTCATGGAGGCAATCAAGGTATGAATCTGTTTGCTCGAGGTTTCTTTACAGTGTAAAGAGAAAGAGGTATCTCCAGACTATAGTTCAATCCACTAAAGAGCTTAAACTGCAATTTGGAAGTCTTTGTCTTTATTAATAATAGAGCTACATTATAAAAGCACCAGGACCCTCTGCTGGCACTGGAGTGTCTGACACGGGGTGATGACCCATGGCCCTGCTGTGTAACCCCGACCTTACCTTTGTTTCACAGACACTGGCAAGAGCAGCTCAGCTGAAATACTGTTTTTGTCYAGTACTCACTATATTAATGGTGGTRTTTAAAATTCACCCCTCTCTTTACCTCTCTAGTTATGCTGTGATATACACAGCAGTCTAGCTGGGCATTAAAGAGAAGAATAAAAGAAGTATTTTATTAAACAGATAAAAGCCCCTCGTTTATTTTAAGAAAACGGATTATCTCGACATTTCCTTAAGGAAGCTGTAGGACAGAAAATAGATACTTTCTTAATTTTAATGCCTCAGTCTATATGCTCTTGAAGAAAGTCTAGTTATTGTAGCTGAAAAAGTACACCTCAAAAACAAAATACAAAAATTTGAACCGGTCTAATGATTCCTGAAATGTAATATTAAGGCAGTAATCCATTAAGTGTCCATGGCATTGTTGGCATCAGCTGTGTACCTGCTGTCCCCATGAGAGTTCTTCTAAAACTCAACTGTACTATATTTAAGCAATCATAATTGTCCATCAGCAGTGGTGTGGCTTTGGAAAGAAGATGGTGCTGATTTCTGTTCATTTCCTGGATAAAGATCTTGGTTTCTAAATGCCTTAATGTCAGCCTGCTCCTTTCTAGTTCTATCTAAATGATATTCTCCTCATCTTCATGTATTGCACGGAAATATCTTAAATTAGAAAGCATGCTTTTAAGTTGTAAAAGCTCGCAATAAAACTGTCCAGGCAAAACATCATGTTCAATTATTCAGTCAGGCCTTTGCAATGTTAGTTCAAGTGGTGACTGGGAACCTCGGAGCACCACAGTCTTCTCATTGCTTGTTTTTAATGGAAATGCTTGATTTTTCTAGGAGTGCTAATGGTTTAGGAGGTGATCTCAGAAGATGACAAAAAAAGAAGTTAGCTCACTTGTAAGGACACGTGCATGGGGCCCGGAACACTGGGGGGTTATAATAAAGCTCATGCTGTATATATATAGGTGGAGAGATAATACAGCAGGCTTCTATTCCTGCTTTCAGGAAAAGAAAGTCATAGCTATCTTGTTTTCACAAAGAACTAAAGTTTACTATTCTGAAGCCGGTTCAAACTGATAGTTTTTCCAGGCCTGTCATCCTTGGTGAGCATTGAACATGTTTTCATGATAATCTCTGGAGTTTTACTGGCTCTAGCAACTAACTGACAAATGTTAGACAATGTAGTTTGTTTTGTCTTTGGCCTGTCAGCTGGTAATAAAARTTTCATGTAGTAGACCCTGGTTTAAGCTGTTAAACCTCTGCAAAAATTAAAAAGTGACATTTAAGACAAAATAACAGTTCATAGCTGTAGGTTCTGAAACAGACTGGATAAGAGAAGTTGGCAGTGAGTAGTGACTCAGCTCCAGCTGGCTCCGCAATCCTGTTTTACTGTTAAAAATCGAAGACACCTATTAAACTTGTTAAATAATAGCTTGTTGAGAGGAATTCTGYGGCTTAGATTGCTCCGTAGGAAATATTAGCGTGTCTGAAGTGTAGTGAGTGTGAAGCTTAATGGCAGCTTTCCTTTCCATGACCATTGCATCCTGCGATGGGCGCGAGTCCATCATCACCAACATCAGTAAATAAAATGAAATTATTTTCAAGATCAATTGCTCAGAATCAGTTTCTGTCATAAAACGAAAGTGTGTTTCAGATAAATAGCTAGTACAAACAACTACTATATGTTGCCGTGTTTTAATCAACGCACAGGAGAGATCTTTAACRTGCATCTTTCTACATAACTTACGTATTTTTTTTTTCCAAGATATTTTAACTGATTGTGAGAGAGCTCAGGTTACTTAGTTTGTCCAATGCTAGATGTGAAAAGAGTTTGAAATATAAATAACGAGCAAAATTGGAAAAAGGCAAGCTGAATATAGTTTAAGCTTAAACTTAAGAGAAATTATTGACATTTTTAGAGTTTGTGGATGATAACTTTCATGCAGGAAGAGCACTTAGATGTTAAGGCATCTGTGAGTCACATTTATATTTAATTATATTTGTTTAATCAGTGGGATCAATCTAAAGTTTAAAGGGAAGGTAATGGAAAGGGAGCCCTGCCAGGACTCAAAGTTCCCTTTGTAGGTCTACTCCCTTAGGCAGCACATGGGATTGGGTCATAAAAGCAGAGAAAGAAGAAGAGTTTAGTTAGATTTCAAAAGCCTAAGGTCCTTTGAGCCATAAATAGCTTAAAATATTCCTGTCCTTTAACCAATGCAAGTAAAATGCATGAAATGGTAGTTGTCTTGAACCTGTTGTGCTTTGGTTTTCTTCTCCCGCTTTGSTGTGAGGAAGCCACAGGGAGATAGGTCAGGGAGATAGGTCAGCCTTAGGCAGCGCTGCGTGTGTGCAGAATCCCCCTGTGAGCGGCGCGCAAACCTCGGTCTGTTCTTTGACTTCCATGTGAGGCTGCTGCGCAGTAGAGGTGTCACATTTAAGTGGTGTTGTTAAGCTCTGTCACTTGGCAGTTGGAGCACAAACTTGTGTCCGCCTCTTCTGCCCTGCATTTTAAAAGCATTTATACCAAATGGCACCTGCAAGTGCCCCTTTTTCCGCCCCACAACTTGTCACCTGCAAGTGTCCTGGCTCGCCGATGAGCCGGCTCAGGTTTAGAAGGGTCCAACACATTCCTTAGTTCTAGACGGTGCCATCCAGTTCCTGCCTGTTTTATCCTTGTACATTAAGCACGTGTTGTTTATGACATGTCTATATTTCCCTTAAGATGACGTTTTTGCTTAATAGTGTTTGGACTGGGACTTTACAGTTGTTTGACATCAATACAGTCTAGTCACTTGAAGTATGTGAGGAGGTTTGTAGAGGTAACTGCCCCCTTAATTGCTTCTTTCGTAAATAATAAATGGTAATTACTTGTTGTAAATCTCAAAATGCCATAGAGAATTATTTCCTGTGTCCTTAACTTTTTTTTTCTCCTCTCTTTTTGGATATTGCTCATGTCATTGTTACTCTGCAGTGTTGTAAGTGGCAGGCATTACAGATGACCAGAAGTAGTTTGGGAAAGAAAAAGAATCAGATTATGTAGCAACAACAGTATAGCAGCTCTGTTAAAAGTAACTATGCAGAACAGAATATGGATAGACTAAGGCTTTTGACTGTAGTATCATCTCTCTCAGAACGTGAAGCCCTCCCAATGCTTCTTTGGGCAAAATTCCTGTTAATAGYGAGGAAGAACTGCTGCTATTTAAGGGCCAGGGCCTTGCTTTCCTGGTGCTTTGGACAGTTTTTGGTGACTTCCTGTCAGTTAGTTAGGGTTAGATCATTTGGGTTATTCAAAACTATCCCAAAGGGCACGTGCTGTTGTGTTGTGTGTGTCTAACTACATCATCTTGYGGAAGAGCAGGAGGTTACATGTGCTGTGTGGCACTGACTGCGSACAGGATTATCTGGGTGCTTTGGCAAGCAATACTTGCTCACATTGCTTTCTTGGGCACAGATTAAAACTGTTTTTGATAGTGTTTCTGGTGGTCACAGGCCTTTATTCTACCTTTATTCTCTGCTGTCAGAAATATTTGACAGTTATTCATATTCTTCTTGAAATCTTGTCTCTCTCATCTTGCTCAAACCTGTCTAGCTGTATTTTTAATTCTTTAAAAATAGTTCTTTAATTCTTCGTTTTTTCAGATTCCCTTCAAATCTTTCAGGACTTCCAAGGAGTTATACTGCCTCTTGTTTTTCTCCAAATACTTTGCTGCTGTGATCTGCCTGTCCCATTTTGTCTAAATTTGATAGTCTCAGCTCTTTGGAGTGTCTTCATGTATTTTAAGTTTCATTCTTAACGTACCCAGAGGTTATAATCTGTTCCTGAAGCAGCAACAACTGTGCACTTCTATCAAGAGTAAAGCTACTGGACTGTAGATCGTGTGACCATTTTCAACATTACATGCATTGGATTCGAGCTGCACATCAGAGATCAGGTTTTGAACCAGAAGTTTGACATTTTACCCAGAAGCTTCCAATTAAATACTTTTTAATGGAAAATGTGAATTTGGCCTAATGATTTTGTTTGAGAGTTCAAGAGATGCTGTTTTCCCAGAAGTGTTGTTGAGAAAGTGAATTCTAAGCATGAAATGTTTGTTTCATATATTTAGCAGGCTGGGTTAAAACCTGCCAAATCTGTATAGCTCCCAGATGGTTAGTAGTAGCATGGCTGAAGAAAGCACTTTCACCCCTTGAGGAGAGCTCTGGCTTGTTGTATCCACTTAAGCAAAAATTAGCAAGAACCATCACATCTTGTACTCTGAAATCATCCCAGATGTATCGAGTTTGAAGTAATTTTTCTTTCATTTTAATCGAGAAGGGAAAATGATAATTATGTTCTGGATGAATTGGATGTTTTTTACTGAAGTGTCACCATGGGTTCACAAAARCATGCCTTGTCTTTATACTTAAATAATACTTCAAAACTTCATATGAAAACTTTTTGAAAATGTTTTTGTTGTGGAGTTTAGATGCTTGGTAATTCACTTGAGGCCAGTTTTGCAGCAGAGTTTAGCTCCTGTTTAGTCACAAGAGCAAACAGCCATCTCCTCAAAACAGTTCTGCATAACGTGGGGAAGTGGTTAGCAAAATCATAAATATTAATTAGATGCTGTGGCACTTTAATTAAAGCAAAGTCAAGATCTAGGTCAATAAAATTGTCTAGTATAAGTCAGTTTTTAAAAATCTATTGACACTGTAATACTCTCTTAATTACAGATTCCGGGAGGCTATTCGCAAATGGGATGAAGCACTTCAGTTAACTCCAGAGGATTCCACACTTTATGAGATGAAATCACAGGTAATTTATGACAATTATTAATCAGTTTTGAAAATCAAAAATGAAACTTGTAGTTGTTCAGCAGATACCATATAATGCCGTATGATTGCTTGCATATATAAACTACAGCATAATTGATTTAGAGTTTCCTTTTCTTCTCAGCACAAAAGGGTCTTTTACACATAGTGGAAATATACTGTAATCATCACAAAGAATATTTTCTTGCATTGTAACATCTTAATTCATGCCCTAGCTAACACAGCTGAAATGTTAAATAAGGCAGAAGGGGAAGAGGATGTTAYTCTGAGAGGTGTGCAAATTTGGCTATACCATTAAAAAGAAAAGTCTATCCACTCTTTATAAGAGCTGGCTTAACATCATCATTTAGCAGAGATACTRTATAAAAATWCATGGTCCAGTTTGTGTCGACATCAGTCTTACATAAATTAAATTACCCTTGGAAAAGTACATGTCTTGCAATTCATTTCAGCCCTTATTTTACAGCGGTTTTGATGAAATTAGGCTGCAGCCAATGCTTCACTGAAACTGCAACAATGAAGTTTGTAATTTGTAATTTCAGTRTGGCTTTTGCGACTTGGATAACAAAAGTACCATGACCCACTGTTTTGCTTAAGTCAAGTTTTTTTCATAATCTCTTTGCCAACATATAAAAATTTTATGTATTAAATGCAAAGCTCTTCTTTTGAAAAAAAAAAGTGTATACAAATATATATATATATATTTAATTAGMACTGAAGATGAGAATAAGAAATGTATAGCTCAATTTACCTCATATTAATATCTGTTAAAGTTGTCCTTTTTATTTATTTTGCTGAAATCTTGGGTGAGATTAAATGGAAATATATTTGCACTTGCCAAGCTGCTGAGTATTTCACCTGTATTGCTATATTTTGTTTGCAGGGGATGTCAGTAGCGAGTGAGAGGGAAACAAGGAGCAGGAATGTTAAATATACATGAGAGCTATTCTAACAGTAAGGGCCAGGGCTTATCTCATCAGACTGACACATGAACTCCCTTCTTTCTGGAATTTTAAAAGCCTTTCTCCCTGCTAATGCACCACGATGGAGACACATTCAGATTCTCCGTGGGAGAGGCTTTTTTTCCTCTGTTGTTTCAGAGAAAACCAAGAGCTATTTCCTCACTTAGCTTTTCTGGAATCCTTAAATAACATTGAATCCTTGACAGAGTTTTGTTGATTTATATACGTGGTGACAAAAAGCAGAGAACAGGTAAGTACATGGAGGTGAAGGGAAAACAATGAGAATCAAAGCTAGAGAAAAGGCTATTTCAAAAATGAGCTGGATAGTAAGTTTAAGACAACAAAAAAATGAAGGTACCTACTCAAAACTTAGCGCTCTCTACCTCTGCTGACCTTTTGCAGACTTTTTCAAATAGCCTTTTTTTCCCACATTTTTTTTTTTCCTTAAAGATGAGATAAATATATAGAAAAGAGCAGTTATGGAACAGAGTAGCTCTTGTAAATCGTTTTCCTTTTTTTTTCTTGATTAGTTATGTGGATTTATGTGAATGCAACAGTTAATATACACACAAAGCAAAGCTCTCCACAAATTGTCTATTTAATTGCAGTTCCACTGAAATTAAATGTATGCACAGTGGGAAGAATAGGAGAACAGTGAATTTTGTTTACCAGGATCCATACTATGGTGCAGTGAGGTATGTGTGTAGGTGCCTACTACGACATTGTTCAGCTGGTGCCCTAGCTGCAATATCTAATACTTTGGTGTGGTTGCTTATTTGATGCTTCTGGTTCATTGTGCAGCTTGATGATGCCGCTAAAGAATAATGAAAACTGGAAAATGAAAGGAGTGCAGCACTTGGCTTCCARCGTGCCTCTTTCCTGCTTTCCTGAAGGAGAGAGCACTGCTGGACAGCTRCTCTCTTTCCCTTTGGTTTCACTTGCTGCTGTTGCATAATACCCATATCCTTGTTCAGTGCAAAAGGAGAAAGACTTACATACAAACAGCAATATATTTATAAAATTTCTTAAATATATTAAAGAAAATCATTATTTAATGCTTTAAGGGGGCAACATCTCTATAGTATACACAAATAGCTCTTACAGATGTCCTTTGTAGTGTGACTTATGCTTACTGGAAGCTGGCTAACATTGTGCAGTGAAACTTGATACCTTTCTGCTTTTGGGGGACTAGTGTGAGCTGTAAAAATCCTTTTTTGCCAAAGCAGGAATATGCAATTCATTCCAAAAATATTACGGTTGAGTCTGTTGTTCCAGTCCACCACGCCTGCACAAATGCTAGAGCTGCCCTTGTGCTCCTTAATGAGGAAGTCCTGGTGGCTTGAGGTGGTGGAAGAACCACCACGCACTGCTTGAGCCAGGGCTTGCCCAGTGCTGGCACTGGSCAAATCTGCCTGTTCTCTGGTACGTGAGGCACGTGCTATAGCATATGATTCATATTAAAGCTGTCTTAGCACTATTTATTGAGATTACTTATGGTATATACTACTTTCAGTGAGGAAAAGTCCCTGTTTCTTTTAAGAATTAGCACTTAACATGCGATATTTTGATTATCTGTTTATCCTTTTGAGCTTATTAAGATAAATCTCTGTTGGATTACATAGCAGCTTCCCAGTTTTTCAATATTTACTGTCATCAGCAAATTCATATATTTTAAGTACCCTYGTTGTTTAATAAACAGCCCAAATAAATATGCAGACATGGTAGGAATCTGTAAATATTTGTATAAAGAACTTAAAGATATATATTTTAACAGATGTTTCATTTTGTTGGACAAATGTCCTTCAGCATTTCTGAAGAGCGGAAATAATGTTCCTAATATTCAGTGACTGGTGCAATAAGTGTATTTCCAGAAAATCATGTGGAAACTGTGAAATTGCTCAACTCCATCTTGGTTCAAAACCCTTGAAAGTTGATGAGTTTCTTTCCATTGCTGTCAGATACTCTTTGATCCATTTAAAAACAGATGGCTCTGGAATGTGGAGAGGTTAGGGTGCACATGGATATTGTCCTTTGAGTACAAGTTGTTTCAGTTTAAATACTTGATATTCATTAACCAACTTAAACTTTTTATTGTCAGAAGAATATTAAGTGGCAAGTTGAGGTTTGTACAAGCCGATTTGTGTGTGTGTTTCTGTGAAATTCTTCTGCAAAAGACCCCACAACCTTAGAATGAATTTAAAAATCAGGTAACTAGTATCTTATATATGTATCTTGTAATAGTGTGCATTATACCTGCATCCTCTTCATTGCAGGCTGAGTATCTTGGGCATTGCCTTCATTATTTTATTGCTGTTTTGAATTACAAAGAGGGAGGAGGAGATTTTGAGGAGTTTTGTACGTTTAGGTCTCTGTACAGAGGAGCACCCAGGGTTCTCTGAGGGGTGACTGGGGGGATAGAGATCAGAGGGCTCATACTCATTACATAACCATATACATGCTATAAACTCACCTAGGGCTCCTGGGCTTGGCTGAACCACATCACTCCTGAGAATTTACCTCCTTACTGTTGTTTTTCAGGCAGCACTTGTCCCACAGAAGTCTCAGATAAATTCTCAAACACCTCATGCAACTAAATGGTGGTAGCCCTGTTATTCTTTTGGAATCCTGAATTTTCTTAGTAGTTGAGCATTGATCGTGCATGAATATTCCTATATTTGATTGTCAGGGATCACTACATCACGTGTGTATTATTTGCCATACCTTGAATTCACTTTTAATGTGACTCAGGATAAAAGTAATGTAAACACATAATAAAGTATCCACAGAAATCCTCAAGTGTGCAGTACAATTATATACATATATATATATTAGTTTATATATATATACACACACACATTTATATGTATTTATATATCCTACAAATGAAAGCAGCCAGGATGGTGTGTGTTTGATAAGCTTTGTGGGTGTGGTGTCCGTCCCTTGCTGCCTGCAGATCTAGTTTGTGCACAACCCTGCCTTCTTGCTTTGCACTGAGGGWGCAGGATTTCAGATGCATATCTCCTTCAGAGCCCAAACCTTTCATGTTCACATTGAAACCATCCCCTCTCCTGCTCTTAAGAATTTCGTAAACCTTGACTTGGTAAAGAAGTAATTTCAACTCCCGCCTGTCCCTCTTCCTGCTTGAGAAATGATAGGGTTCCTGAGGTTTGACCCGATTCATAATGCTTGGTTTGTATTGTAACAAACGAGCTAATAATTTCTGGTTTATATCTAGTTGATATAAACATATCTTGTTGCATTGCACGGACATGACTGGCACTCGTGAAACCAGCTCTGTTGATGGGAGATTGGTTTGTGGTCCTGAACTGGGCAGTGGCAGCTCCTGAGCTGCTGGAGGGATGGAACAACCATGGGAAAGGAGAGGGATGTGTGTGTGTTTTCCACACCACTCCCCACCCTGCCCTGGACCCACTAGAATCTGCTTGCTGGACCAGACCTTTGAGGTGGATGTGACTCCACTGCAGCAAGGGTGTTTCATGTAGGTGTGGATCAGCCCGGCCTGGCCTGGTTGGGCTCTCCCAGGAGTCCCAACTGCTCCTCTCATGTGACAGACTGTGGCACTCTGCCACCCAAAAGCACTGAACTCTCATGATTGAAAAGGGATTGTATATTTTTGCAGATAGCACAAACATCTAGGACTATAGTATTYAGAACAAGTATTATTTCTGAGTGAAATCAGCATCATGGTTCAGGGCCATTGCATCTATTTAGAGTCGAAAAGAGATTCATGGAGAGAGTTGGAGCAGCTAATCTGTCTACTCTGCTTTTTTTGTGCTTTACTTGAACTGCATTTGATATTCTTAGTGGCATTAGATGACCTCCAGGTTATTCACTATAGGAGCTGCTAAACTCTTCTTGGAATCCTAGTCAGTATTGACCCTTACTATATTGACCCTGTATGCCTGAGTTCAAATACTCTTGATTCATAATATTTGAGATGAACCAATTTGTGATTTGCTGAAATTATGTAAAGTTTTAGTAACATCTCAACTGCTTAAGCTGGAAAAGTAGTAAATATTTTAGTATTTTATATTAATCCAGTGTACTTTATCTGTAAGAACTTCACTTGCTGGTTCGGTTACAGAGAAGATGGACTTGGAGTGTGCACTGAAGGCACTGGTCAGCAGCAAGGGAAATTCCTATTTGATATAAGGAAAGAAAAAGTACTTATCAGTGGAGGTGATTAAGCATTGAATGAATTTCTGAGAGACATTGGAGATTTTCAAAGTGACAAAATTCTTCTCATTGGTACTCACTTTTATGATTTACAGTATATACAATGAACAATAAAAAATACAGTGAAATGTCATTAAAAATACCATAAATACTTACGTAGGTGTTTTGGTACTATATTGCACTGAAAAACACTGGTAGAAGATGGTGAATGTTTTGAGACTCATGAATATGCTAAGGTGAAAATGTATTTGCCTGGTTATAGGTGCGGATCACATCAGTGTGGAAGGAGGCACAGCAATCCACTACTAACAGCTCAGTGGTTCCGTGCAAGGATTGCTGCAGATGAGAATGCACACAGAAATACAGCTAAACTTCAGGTTTTGGGAAAATACGTAGTATTCATTGCAGACTTTGCTCAAAAAGATCAATGGTTGAGAACTGCTGTTTAAAAAAAAAAGTACGGGAAGAAACAGCATGGTGTTCAGCTATGGGCTGGCTCTTAGGGGTCTTTTTTAGCAACTTTCTAAATTCCCTTGTGCAGCCTGTCAAATGGAATTAAAGAGAGACCTAAATGATTAGCCTCTAGACAAAAATAGTCATTAAAACACTATGAATATGCATCCAAAGTGCCTATTGGAGTTGTGGGTACACGGTTACAACGGTAAGGCTGCCTAGTTCTTTTACAGTACTTATCCTGATGCTGCACAAGTATTTTATGGTAATTAATCACACTTGGGCCTTCCTCCCTCTGCACTCATGTTTCTATATTTAAAATATTGCAGGGCAGAAAGGTTCAGCAAATGCCTTTACACTTCAGCAGTTGTCTTCATGTGCTCCGATAGTATTCATCACGATTGTGGGTTGGTTGGGAAGCAAGTGGTTTCCCACGCATGAGTCTTGCTCTGGTGGTTGACCTTTTCATCATACAATCGGAATGCAGTTGTCATTTGTTTCTTAGACTGGTATCCATCACCACAGCATGTGTTGTCTGCAGGAATGATCTCAGAGTGATGGAGGTCTCCAGGTAACATGCCAGTTTCATGGAGGTCTTGGAGAAATAGGACAAGCTTTGAGTTGCGTTGAGTTCTGTGTCTCTTAACTGTGATTTATAGGTTTAGTTATGAAAATCCAGTGTGAGGTATAGAATGGTAACTGGCTTCCACTAACCTGTACAGCTGGATGAAAGGTTTCTACATTTGGAAACCACTTCAAAAATGCTCTTTTATGCAGTTGATTTCATGTCTAAATAAAGCATTCTGCAATAGCAAAGTCTACCTATATTTGGATATAACAGTCATTGTTAAGAGTTGTTTCCATGCTGAATTACAGGGATAGTTTCCATTATTATATCATGTGAACTGTGAATGTATTTGGTAGATTTTGGTCTTCGGTTAAAAACAAAAAATAAAGCATAGAAGTTTTTCAAAGCATTTGAAAAAATACTTGCTTACTTATTGTGTTTGGTTCTTAATGTGCTTGTCCTTTAGTGCAATAGAGTGATTCTGTTACTTGAGAGCATGAGATTTGGAGGGAGGGAGAGGAACTCGTTCAGGAGCAATTCATCTCCTTCTAAGAGTTGCCTGAGTAAGTTAGATGAGTCATCCTTTAGCATACCTATTTCTATCCATGGGCTGTGGAACGAATTTAGGTGACTCTTAGATTAGACAACTAAGTTTTAAATGACTAAAAGCTAGATGAGAGGAATCTTGGTCCTCAGTTACTGAAACTAGGCTGGTTCCGGGTAATGACAGAAAAGTTAATTCTGTTTTCAACTCTAATTAGTCCTGTTATTCTTCTTTGTCACAGGTCCTGATGTCTTTGCATGAAATGTTCCCAGCAGTGCATGCAGCAGAAATGGCTATCCAGAGAAATCCACGTTCCTGGGATGCCTGGCAGACCTTGGGACGTGCCCAGCTTGGAGTAGGAGAAATAGAACTGGTAGGAAAATGAGCAAAAAAGACTACAGTTGTAAATTAAGACTGCAAATCACACCATCTGAATTGTGTGTTAGAGAATGAAAGTACTGAAGTATCAAAGTAGCTTAATATCCTTATGTAGCTTCAGATAGGCAAGGAGAAAGGCTCTTGATGTTTCTCCCCCATATTCCAAAGCGTGAGAAACACTTTCTTTCTCACAGGTGCTTGCTGGACTTGTGGAAAACCTGCCTAGCTCAAAGATATTTTTATCACATTCTGTATTTGCATTGTGTTTTTTATAACAAAATGATTATGTTGATGCCTCTTCATATACTACATTCCAGGTAGATGCATTGCTGCAGTGTAGTTCACATGGTTTAGAACTGAAGGTACTGTGAAGCCCCRGTTGATAATCAGTTTTATACACAAATATTAAGGGAGTTCTAGGGCCTTGTTTTCCCTCTCTCCTGCTGCCCTTCACATCCAACAAATCATACATTCTCATTCGTACTTGCTTCTGGATCATGGACGTCGCTTGGCAGATGAAGAGCAAGTCTCTAACTGCAGCCCTGTGCTGTGGCACCATCTCTGCCACCTTGTGTCWTACAAAAGGACACCCTTCCTCCGTAACGCTCACCCAGGTCTAAACAACTGTAAATAATGTAGTGTAAGTAACACAAATGTATCTAATAGTCTTCTGCTGGTTAGTATGGAATCATAGTGAGTGAAACTTTTTAATGAAGATGTGTACGCAAAGCCCATTAGAAAAGTAACTCATTATGAACTCTTAATAAAATAAAACCAATATGTTACTTTCACTTCCAAGATAGGTAGCTATGTGCTGTTTTAATACAAATAAACAATTTTCTCATTAATTTAGAATCTTTTAGGAAGTTAAAATATTTTGACTGAAATTTTTTAAGAAAATTATTTTTCTAAGTGAGCTAACAGATCATGCAAAAACAGTGTCTTATTAAAATACAATATTAAGTGTTGAAAAATCAAACAGAAGAATAACATCAGACAAAAGCTCTCTTGTGTTGCAGATGTGCAGTGAACTACTTTRTGTAGTTCTGGCATCATAATACGAAATTTAATATAAATTCATACATAGCTGGATCGTGTCATGTTAAATAAGGGGTGATATTCCATGGCTTTTGCCATGCAGATGCTCAGAACAGTCCTCTGGTCTACAATCTATAAATCATTTTTAAATTAAGTGCCTGAAATTGCCTCTCTAAGTTGTGTCAGAGGCGGTAAATGCATTAGTCTAAGGAAGTTCAAAACTGTGTTTGTTGAAGAACCACATATGTAGATGCTATTCTACAATAAGTGCTACAGYTACAGTAATGAAAATTGTAGATTCAGGTTTCTCCTTATCAGTTAGTCGAGTTGTAGCACCAGGCCTGCTCACCAGGTTGCTTAACCTGTCTGTGTCAGCGAGTGAGATCACAACAATAAGGGGATATATGGCTGTAGTAGCGTGGGGACCCTGTGTCCCTGCATTATCTGCATTTTGCTTTATTCAGATGAGCTCTGTTGCGGGAACGTCTTCGGTTGTGCTCTTGGAATTCAGGGTTGAGTTGGGAGGGAACTCTTGCCTAACTCTTGCCTTGAGACTCTTCCCTAATGCAAAACAAAGTGTGTTAAGTGGGGACAGTTGGAGATTTGCACGAAAGCACATTCTTCATCACAACTGCTGCTATAGGTAGCACCTGCAGTTTTGTAATCTCCACCTTAGCTGTCACTGGYGAGTGAGTTACCACCAGGTGCTTTCACCCCAGATGTCTTTGTGGCCCAATTGTCCAAGTAGGGAAGATAGGGAGAGTAAGCTCCTTTTCATCTCCAATCCTGCTGTGTGATATTTTATATATTACTGTTACAGTCACTAAAGCAGTTCCTTCTGCAGAACACATGGCAATGCCCTGTGGAGATGTTCCCCCAACCATAAAGACAGGCAACAAGCACTGGAGAACGAAGAAAGTTTCAAGTTTAAGGAAAACGCAGCTTGCAGGAAGACTTAGAAGTGGAGGTAGTATCTGGCAGGCCGATTCTCAGAAGCTGTGATGTGTGTTGAGATGTCTGAGCAGGGGTGAGGGCCGTTTCCCTGTGAGGGCCTGCGGTGCCCCCTCAGGGCTGAGGCGGGGCCGAGCTGCGGCCTGCGCTGAGTCACTCCCGGGGATGATGCATCCCAGCCCGGTCAAGGTTCTCTGCAGTGGAAAGTGTTGAACATAGGAGAATGGAACTACCATCATCTCACAGACCTCTACCAAGTGTATGGGAACAAGGATTTTTTCTAGGTTTATAACTTGACCACATGCCAAGAGGTTTAATGGAAAAATCTCATCTCTCGCATCCCGAAAAGGTCCTGCTCTTTCTCCAAAGTGTTAAAACATCAGTGCTTTAGAATAAGCTTACGAACTACAAGAGAATTAATCCCCTCTTTTCTTGAAGGTGGAAATTTGTTCTTTTTTAATTTTCAATGAGATGGATTTTATTGTTGTTTTAAAGAGATGCAACATTTAAAGATACTGGCCAAGTTCTTTATTGCTTCTCTTGCCCATTGAGTCAAGATTAGAAGTATCAGGTGTATCAGGCTGTAACATTTCCCTGTAGTGCCAGATAGGCAATTGAGGTAAGGAAAGAGATTCCCCTGCCAATGCAGACATAAGTTAGAGCTAGCACTTGAATTGACCCATGTGAATGCGTTTAGCTTTGCTTGAAACCTGCTTTTAGCAATACTCTGTAATGATTAAAATTATAATCAGTATGAGAAATAGGAATAGGAACACTTCCGCACCTTATATTTGGCATGTTGCAGATGGATCGTTAGATCAGAGAATAATTTAAGAGTTATCTGTGCCAGATTGGCATTTATATTCCTGGATTTTCAGGGAGTTTTGTTGCAATATGAAGGAATGGCTGGAAGCAGGTGAGGTGGCAACATGAAATAGTCTGTAAATGGCAATTCTGCATTTTTCAGGATTCCATTGGTGCTTTAAGGCTTATGCCTCTAATCTTTTGCACCTCTGGAAATATACCTTTCTATAATTGTCATATGTAAAATCTTTTCTCAAATATGCATACAAAGCTGATGGCTTTATGTTGTGTCCATATGAACACAGTTTATTAGCTACAACATTGCTGTTCGTAGCACTTTGGTTACCTTATAAATTTGTGTTTCATTACTGTCTTTGGTGTTTCATGTACATGAGCATAACTATACAGACAGGTTTTAGATGGGAGGCCTCTTTCATGGGAAGTTTGAGAACAGATTTCAAAAAAAATGACAAAAGCGAGCGTTTAGTGTTTATTTCTAACTCATCTGTCCATTGAAATTAAAAGTCAGCAAAGCTGAGTGACACTTTGACAAGATTCAAACTGTCTGCSTCATGTCCTGAGTCCAGCAAGCTCCTACATTCAGATCTGGCCCTAGGCCAGTAGTAAAGGACTCTGTTTTTTCTTTCCTGGAACTGAATGGCTGCCTGTWACAACAACAGGACCACTTATCAGCATGCCAGCATTTCTTAAAAGAAATGAGAGATTTGAGTGTCCTGTCTGCAGTTGAGTTCATGTCGTTCAGACAGGAGGAAAATTAATTAACGCTTTCTGTTGGTCCACATGAGAAGTACTGCTTTTCCAAATTAATTTACATGCTTTGAGTATTTATAAATTATGGAAAAACACCATTTTCAGTGATTCTTTAAAGTTTTTATACAGAGTTTCTGGAAATCTATGAACCAGCAGCACCATCACTGTTTTTCTACCCCACAGGGAGAATTTGTCACTCAGAGTGACCACATCCATTACTGACCACAAACTATGAATATGAAAAATATGAATAGGTGCATGCATATGTATAAGAGTAGATAAAGTCAGTGTTGACTTTCTCATTGTTAAAGTCTCAAAACAGCTGTAAATTTTGGTCCAATATTTTTCCAGTTTTATCTTATTACTGCTAAAAGCCATGCTTACTACATTAGGTTACTTATTTATTTTAAACTTTTGGATTGAATATTTATATTTGTGGTGCATTTCTCAATTTAAAAGAATTGAAAGACAAGAGAAGCAGTCTTAATTATAATTAAATAATTAATCGTTTCAATACCAGATGATTTTGGGGGTTATAGGAGTTCTTAGAATACTCTGGGGAATTTTGTACTTTTCTCTGAGGTTAGATATCTGCAACCAATTTGATCAGTTTATTTGCTCAGCTTTAGAGAAACTGCTTATCATGGGCATGTGTGAATGTAATATTAGATCGACATGTGAAATGACTGCATGCTAATTTAAAAGGGGTAGTATTGGTAAAATTTCACATCCCAGTTGTCCCGTTTCTGTACTTGTTTAAATTTTATCTTTCTGCTTACATCCTCCTGTATATCTGATGACAGGAGAAAAATGGGGTAGAAAATGATAAAACCAGAAATTAGTTTCTCCCGCTTTAATTAGAATATTATTTTAGACCTCTTTTTGTTGGAATGAAGAAATAATGGRTAAGTAATTTCAAAGCACCCAAGTTATATGGAAAAGCCACTTCTTAAGGTGTCTAAACACCTATATTGCACTTTGGGATACTTATTTCATTGCCATTTCATACTTTGTAAAGCAGGTCGCTGTTGGGACTGGTTCATGTCTCGTGACAATGAGGCTTAATATTCATCCTTTGGTAGTGATATTAGGTTGCTTGATTTCTGTGGAGGGAGTTGTAGCCTTAAAATRTAGCTGATAATATATTCTTTCTTGTAGATTAGGTACTACAATTCTGTTCCAAATTTTCATTTAAAATAAAGATTTTAAAGGCTCCTTGTTTCCCTAAATRGACCACCTATGCTTGTGAAATTGTATTTGTGCCTTTGTTGCCAGGCACCCAAATTGGGCTTCTTGGTGCTTTCAGACAGTTGCACATGCTTTTGTGTGGGGACAACACTGTCATTGAACTTACAGCGAGGAGCATGTTTCAGTAAAGGCAGATAGCAATAAAACAATTTTTTTTTTTTTTTTTTTTTTAGGAAAGCATTAATTTCCGGTTAATTTCTGTGATATGGGATTCTCTAAACATTCCAATCTGTGTTTTCCCCCCTCTTCTCCTTCTAGGCAATCCGAAGTTTTCAGGTATCCTTACACACCTTTCCAATGAACCCCGAAGTATGGAAAGAGGACCTTTCTTGGGCACGAAAACTCCATAAATATAAGCAGAAGGCAGCAAAGGCTAAGGCAGTGCAAGCGCTGGCAAAAGAGGCTGCACAAGAATCAATCCCAGACTATGACTTTGAGAGTGATGAGATTGTGGAGGTCTGTGCTGCCATCGCCCAGAAGGAGAAAGAAGCGAAGTCCGTGGTGATCGTGTCTGCGTCAGGTGCTGTAGAGACTGTTACCGAGAAGGAAAACTCTGCAGCGACTCCTGATGAGACCATTTTTATCAGAGCCCGGTAGGGCACTCTGCTATGTTACCAGTACAGTTTTGAGAACTAGTTATTTATTGTATGTTGAGAGTTTTTTGAGAATTTTTTTTCTTAACCAAGGGAAGCCTACAAAAGCTTTTCTTTTTCCTTCGAAAATTCTGATTTGAGTAAAACTAGTTTTCTAAAAAAAAAAAAAAAAAGTAAATCTGACTGAATTTGTCTTCTGTCTGTACTTTTGGAGAGAAAAACTAAGGGTTGATTTTAAAAATCCCATGAACAAATGTAGTGTTAAAATGCTTAAATACATTATAACATCATCTTTYGTGTAACTGTATTTAATAATTGTACAAATTACTTTCTACATTTTCCAAGTAGTAGACTGTAATTTAAAACACACAACAAAAGGGCAGTTTGTTGTAAATGTTGTGTTTCGGTCCTTACTCATTAATGRGTATCAGCCAGTTTGAGTGTGAGCTGCTCTCTTGCCCTCAGAGGTCTGGCTGRTCCTTATTTCAAGTGCTGCTCTACAGACAGCACCACAAGGAAAGCAGTGGGAGGGAGCTGGAAATAGGTACGTCCCTGAAGTTAGCATTTTTATCCCTTTCCTCCCCACTAAGGATGAAGACCCTATAAAAGGAATCCATGTATTTTCATAGTTCTTACAATCTGCCATTCCTTGGGGAAACCAGAGGTTCAGGACAACGTTGCCTCAGTCTCCCTTTTAAATCGTCCATGCGTTTGGACGGTGTGGAGGGTATTTGTGCTGTGTTGACCCAGCTGCTCCACTCAGGAAGGTCCTTTGGCCTCGATCTTTCTCCAGGGGAGGCTGGTGGTGGCTTCCTCTCGGGGGCAGTGAAGAGAAGAGCCCAGTGGCTCTGGGCTGAGGCTCCGCTGTCTGCAGAAGCATTTGGGAGGCTGGAGGTAGGTCCTGAGAAACTTCCACCTTGTGGAAATCTGGCTTGGCTGAAGTTACCTCCTTGTACAAGACTAGATTCTAGTTACTGTTTATTTCCAAACACATTTAAGCTTACTTAAGTGTCTACATAATATACAGTTGCATTGTAAGTGTTACAGGGACTATAAATCAAAGATAATTTGGGGAAAAATGGTCAATTCAGGAATTCCCAGAGACTTCAGGGTATGTATGGGAACATATATTTTTGCAGAATAATTGGATAATTTTCATATGTTTAATTGGTTAATAATCAAAATATGTGCATGGCAAAGATAGGTTTGTAGCAAAGGGGAACAGTCTGGGATCAGTCATCTTTGCCTTTTTAATATTTCTTTTGTCTTTTTAAAATTAAAATGTTTGTAATTAAAATCAAAAATGAAAATGTTTCAAGGCACATTTTGAGAAGAAATTAAATGATTTGCTAGAGAAGCCTAGCAAAATAGTCAAAAGTAAATATATTCTAGAAAAATTATTTAGCTCAGATCATAGTTTCATTTGAACCTTGTTAAGTCTTTAGAGGACATTTACAGTCTGTACAGAAATAGATATAATTGCAGTGTTGTATTTACGTTACTGTGTTTTCATTAATTTCTGCAAGATTATTCTTGAACTTATTTTGTATATACAGTAATTTTTAGATCTGTGAACAGTTATGTGCACACAATCCTTTTACTTTTTATTGTTTGAATATTCAAAATAATTACAATTACAGTGACTGAAATATGTGGAATCTTATGCAAATACAACACAATGTTACATTTGAATTTGTTCATTCAGGTCTGGGACAGGTCCTTAAGTGCTTATTTAATAGACATTTGATTAACATACTAGTTGATAGCAGTTTAGAATTGTTTCTGTTAAAGAATTTTCTAACCTTTTTCTCTAACAAAACTCAAATAAGACAAGCTGAGTAGCCACAGGAAGAGTTAGTAAAAAGGATACGGACAGATTTCTTCCAAGAGGAGCCGTCATCTGACTAAGGAAGATATGTGCAAGGTGCAGTAAGGTATGTGTTCTCATGAGTTGTAATCCAACACTTTTCTTTGCCTCGTGTGCTTGTGTGTGTTGGGGTTTCCTCGTACAGCTAGGACTCTGCCTCCACCGCTTCACAGTCCATGTTATCACTGAATCTGCTCCCACTGAAATGATTTGCAGAATTCCTGCTGAATGTGTTTTGTTCTGACTAGATTAGGCTGTGAATTCTAGGTATTGTCATGACATTAATGTAACAAGCAACAGGTAAGTTCTTGTGACTGATGTGTTGTTCTCAACCTGGGAAGTTTGGCATCTATTTTTTTGTACAGCATGTCATGTTTTGCATGTATGGAATTTTTTTGATCCATTTGAATAAAATATTGACTTTCTGCTGCTTGGTGATGCCTTTTTGTACTTTGGAGATACCATGGACTTCTAGGATGATACTCCTTTAATCAGGTGTTTCTGAAAATGTTAATGTGTATAGTAAACATCTGAAGAAAAAGCACCTAGAAGTTTTGCTCAGCCCTTTTAACCAATCCAAGAGTACTCAAATGAGAGAGACCCAAGGGAGAAGGTAGGACGTGGTGAATCACACGCACGCTTGGCCAGCAGCAGGTCGGTGCTGTSAGTGGCTGCTGCTGTGTATCCTGCTCTGGGGGAGCTGTCTGCCTGAACGGGTAGCAAAGGGCTGCAGCGCAGGTAAAGAGGACGTTTCCGTGACTACAGTAGTTAAGGTGCRATTAGTTTTGCATATTTTTAAATATCTTTAAACATTCAAATTTGAATTTTGTGCTTTGATTCTGTTTATGTTCAGTGGAACAAAATGCACAGCCTCAGAGGGCTATTCGTATGCCTTATGTTAGATGGCTATCTTAGCATGAGATGAATCAGCCTCCCAAAGTGCCTAATTATTCCCATTGACTGCAAAGGAAGCTTAAGGTGAGTGACTGACTGACTGACAGATGGCTTTAGGCACTGAAACAGGGTGGATGAATCTACTYGTCTAGATAAAGATAAATGTCTGTATAAAACATACATTTTAAAGATATTAGAGGATAAAGTATGGATAAAGTTTATCTAGGTAACACAAATCTATTTAACAGTGACTAATTTCATAACATGATAAAACATTAGATTTTAGAAGTAGTTGAGGAAAGAAGGAAACTTAGTGGTTTTGCTTAATAGTCCTAGTCTCTTCAGAAAACTGGTAGTACTGGGACTAAGGTGAGAGGTAATGTTGAAAGCTCTACTTGACAATAAAGGATGTGTGTCCCATATGTGCTTAAACCAGTGCGGAGGAGATAAAAGCTTGTGTTGAGGTCAAGTGCTCTATTAAACTTCAATTATGATTCATGTAATAGCTATGAAACTAMGAGTAGTTAGGAGTGGGATTGAAGAAAGCAGAAGTTTAAAGGTTTGGTTTGTCAGATTACAGATAGTGCATGTGATTATCGTAAACATCAGTGCTATTTAACCCCATGTTCTCAWATAGATTGGAGCCCTTTGTTGGTGTATCCAGAGAAGACAGGCTTAGAAGAAAAAGGTGCCTATGAGAACAGGCAATTGCTGAATCCTCTCACATGGACTGGCCAAGCTTTAAGACTGGTCTGCAAGTGCAGGGACAGTCGGAGCAGCGTAAATTGTAGGGAGTGGCAGATTGAGGGAAGAGATCAGAGTTGCAGACTGAGAGGCAGAATTTGGGTTCGAGAGCAGCGTATTGGCACAGTAGTTCATTTCCACATCTACCGAAATTGCCACTAGGAGTGATGAGGCCTGATGGTATTTAGTGRCTTCGATATTAAATCTGTCCTGTCCTGAGTAAATTAAATTTACAGCTGTGTCTAGGAGCAGAAGAGGAGCTGCAGTTCTTCATAGAAGGCTTCTTCGTTGGAATGATACCTGCTGTCATTTGAAGATAGTGGATTACAGTCAGACTGTTAAGGCTTTGACATTTTACCTGTAGCATTAGTTTGGGTTAGATGGTACTTGTGTTGCAGGCAAGAGAGATGCAAAAATTTGGCTTTATTGCAGGTTCCTACAGCCCCACTCTTCCTGTCCAGTCAGTACTGCTTAAGATAAACTGTCAATTTGTGATATGATAAACTGTCTAAAACTCCACCGCTAGCCGGCACTATTGACTGGGAGTTATTGTCTCCAACAGGAATTTAGTCTCATCCTGCCTGTGGTGGGTACATTCTCCAAGCCAAGCTGCAGCACGTAGGCTCAGATTGAGTTGGGCCTGGGCTTTTGGGAAAAGGATGGAGTGGAGGAGTCTAACGTCCTGCTGATGTGAAGCTTTTGTGAAGCTGTGGTTGAGCGTTTGTAGGCGCAGGCTGGCTGTTGAGTGTGATGCTGTAATGTTGGTGCTGACTGAACTAAGCAGGACAGAGTCAAGGAGAGGTAATTCGGATCAGGGATTTTTTTTTTTTTTTTTTTTTTTTAATGAACGCTTAAGTGGAGGCAGATGTGGAAGGCAGGCTCTGTCAGGGGTACATGGGTCTCTGGGAGGTGGGGAGTGGAAGGGGAGCTATTATGCATGGGAAAGGGAAACTCTCAAAAAACTCCTAGCAAGAAAATTATCTTTTAGCTTTCATGTGTCTAATTTCTATGAACATCCAGTTTATTTACTTGCTTTACTGGGCTGGTTACACCCTAAAGGAAGCTGAGAAGGAGAATTCAGTAGTTTATGCGTGGTCTGTGTGGAGTGGGGATGGAGGGGGACTCCAAAGCCGGTTGGGACTGGCCGGTGGGGGGTGCAGGGTGCCACCCTGCCCAGCCCTGCTCGCCAGGCTAATCCAAACAGCTGCCTGTGCTTATTTCTGAGTGTTAAAAGATGCTGCCTCTTTAGTGTTGGTGCGCTGAGGTTGAGAGCTCTTGTAGGTAGTTCTGTTCCTCAGCAGATGTTTTGACATGTAAGTTGATTGGCAATCCTTGAGTTAGTGTTGAGGGAATTATTGATGATCTGCTGTGCTCTGAATCCCGTCCCTAAATCCCTGTTGCCAGCAATGCTGGGGGCAGGAGCAGGACCAAATGCCCAGCATACRCGTGCCAAGAAACACGTTTTGCCAGAAGGTCTGCTAGTTAAGATGGCCACATGTACTTGTGTTTTGTCAGTAAACTATAGGTTTTACTCATGTAAATACTGTACACTTTTATTATGCATTGTTGCTCTTCGATTCTGTCATTACATTCAGCACCAATATTACTGGTGTGTTGTTTCATCTCACCTCCAAAGTGTTGTCTTGGATGTGCATAGGCCATTCGACCTGCCTGCTCTATCAAACACTGCATCCTGCCTTGGGAAATGAGCAAGTGTGTTGTAGTTGTTGGTCACTAGTAAAGCAATAGACCGTAGCTGAGTGGTTTAACTGCAAAGAATTTGCACAGATCTTTAGCTGCAGTAGAAAGTTGGGTAATACCGTTCTCCCCCTTACCCTAGTAAATAGTAATTTCTGGAGCAAATATTTGTGCAGAGAGTTAACTCCACTTTCCCCTTGCATCATAAAGCTCAACTGCTCCCCTGTTAATGGAAAACGTATTGATCATTTTTCTTTTATTGTATGAGGAATTTTGCTGGCTCTGTGTGGATGTCCTCAGGGCAGTTTTGGAGGATAGTTTCCTCTTGCTGATGGTGATTGTGCTCTGGTGTTTTGGAAACTTGCAGAGCAAAGTAGATCTCGAGAGTAGCTAAGTGCAAACTGTTCTGGAATGGGTGGCTTATTAAGGTGAGGAGTTGGCAYGGAATGGCAGAACTGCATAAACTTCTGAGATCAAGCAGAACATTTCCGTTTAATTGTGATCTCCAAAATGATTTTGGTCCATACAACTGCTTAAACATATCATCAACGTAAGACTCAAGATTTTCATTACAATAAAGCATTTCACATGAAAACACTTTAAGCAGCATGCTTAGTATTTGACAAAACATCCTCCAGATATCTGTACAGAAAGTGATTTTGATGAACATTTTTTTCTGGAACAAGATCTAACCCTTACAAAATGAAACACAAAATTCCTTTTTGTCATTGATTAACAGGTTTTTTGTGTGTGTGTGTGTGATGAATTTGTTATTAAAACTCAAGGAGCAAGTAATTTTCAAGGGATTCAACATAAGGATATGGTTTTCCATAAACTATACKTTTAAATGAAGATTCTGCTTCCATGGTTTTGTGTGTTTATTTGATGGAATATCAGATTATACAGTCATAAAAACTCTATTTRCTATTTAAAGTAAAATGATAAATGCTATGAAAAAATACCTTTATTACATCAGTGATGTTTTAACTAAAGTGAATAGTAAGACTATTAACCAGGGATTTAAAGTTTTAGGTCCTGATATTTAAAAGCATTTCTATATGTCCTTAACTTTATATGTAAGGAGTCTCTCTGGCAGCAGAGGGACTACTCAGTTGGGCAATGTTAAGTGTGTGTTTAAGTGTGTGCAGAATGTGGGCTGGAGTACTCCAAGAGGAGTGTTACAGAAACATTGTCAGCACATAAATAAAATCTGGCTTTCTAGTATGTACATATACTGAAAAGGAAATATTCTTAGCTGAAAGGATGTTTTCTTTTTCTCTCTTGGTAGCACATGTTCCCATTTCACTCAGAGCTTTTATTTATTCCTAGACAGAGAACTAACTCCCATCAGCTTGTGATCTAGGACAGCCAACAAACCTAAAACAAGAATGTCTTCCCAGCAGGCAGTACTGGGGCAAGACAAGGCTGGCAATCATTTCTATATACCTTGTATTAATACAAAACCTTCTCATAGAGAAGAATACACTTTTAAATATTTTCAATCCTGACATATATACAACAGTAAAAATTCACATTTTCATGCTTTAGTGAGTGCCCCAGGTAGCTGTTAGAGCAGAGCTCTGTCCAGTTCCRAGTAGCTGCCTCACCGTTAGCTCTGGTACCAGAAGCTGGAAACCTTTATAGCTGAGCAGCCACGGGAGAGAAAAAACAGTTCTACCAGATGTGGGCAGATGAAGAAAGGAAAGGAAAGCAAGTGATGGATCATTTTACTCCAGAGCTGGTMGCTCCCCTGTGTCCAGGAACACGACAGTTTGTGCTTCCAGTCCTGCTAGACCTGTCTTGTACAAGTTCCAATGACAGGGACAAGTGCAATGTCTGTTCCATACAGTCCTCAGTAGTCTAAATGCAATGTACCCATCACACAGCAAGAGAAAAATAGCCCTTTGGAGCGTAGCTGAACCCCTCTCCCCTTCAACAGGTAAAATACCTGCCTATTGCACCAGTTTTTCCAATATACCGGGAAGGATCCTAAGGGTTGGTGACTTGCACTGCTATATACATTTTTCTGATAAGTTCAATGTTTCAGATGGGAAGGTGACCTGGAGCGGGCTGCCTTTGGATGTGGAGCTAGCCCCACTGCCAGACGCGATTTCGTTCACCAAGAAGACGTTCTCAGAGTCCTGGCCCTGCGAGGAGTCCGAGGTCTCCGAGCTGCGCAGCGTCCTGACTGACGTAGTGTCGGACTGCGCCAGGCTGGCGCCGGCGCCCGGCAGCAGCACGCGGCCCCCGACGCTGCTTTCGCTCAGCTCGGGCGGGTAGAGCAGGGTCTGTGAGGTGCTGCTGATCTCCCGCAGCTCCCGCGAGATGCAGGAGGGCGACTGACTGGACACGGCAGACGAGGTCCTGCGGCCGTCCACGCARTTGAAGTTGCCACCCGGGTGCTGCCGCCGAGCGCCGCCGATGCGGCAGAAGAGGCATTTGATCTTCTCGATAGCTTTGCTGAGCACGGTCTTGCGGAGCAGGATGTAAACCCACGGATCCAAGATGGGGTTCACGGAGGCGATGCGGATGGCTTGCAGGTCAGGGTTCTGTCTGATGTCCCTCACTGTCTCAGGCTGGTACAGCTGGTTCACAAAGACGCGGACCTGCCCAAGGGGGTGGCGGGAAGGAGAAAGACAAATTTACATCAGGACAGTTTATGTTTCAAAACAGAAATTTAGATTTGCAACTGCAAGTTACAGCAAAATAAGAGGCTGGCCAAGCCAGAAATCTCAGGTCATCAGATGTTCATGAGACTATTTTGGGAAATAGCAAAAAATTAGATGAATCTGCTGTAACTTGGCCTTTGTTGTAGATAGGAAAGTTCACTCTCCTCAGGGTTAAAAGATTAARCTTCAACTACTTCTTCCTGTGAATTTTTTTAGCATTCAAATTTTGTTTGCTGTTTTTCTTTCTTGCAAAGATTCGGAGCTGCTCTCATTGCTGCACTGTGCACCTCAAACCCTGCTCTGCTGCCTGCRGAGCAATGTCCGACTCCACAGCGAGACCTGCTCAATCTACGTGTGGTTCCTCCTGCAAAAGTCTAGCAGTTGAATGGTTAGAAACTGAAACCCCTATTATAATCCAAGAAGTAAACCRGCCTCTAGGAACAAGTCCAGAGCTGTCTATTCTCTAGTTTAGAAATACATTTTGCTGGCAGCTGTCACTGCTGGACTTTCCAAGGTTGGAATACCCTTAAATCTGTGCTTGTTGCTGCACGTTTTGAGGAGAAAGAAAATGACCTCCCAGCTCACAGGGTTTTAGCTGATCACAATGACTCCTGCGCTGGCCTACTCTGTTCTCCTGCATGAGCCAGCATGTTGGTTCTACCTAAAAACGCATAAAATAGGGCTGAAATAGTCAAGACGTTAAGGCATTTGAGGTGGTTGGATTAAATGACTATTTATCTATTGCTTCTAACTTATTTCACAGAAAAGAAAGTAAAACTAAACAGAAATACGTTGTTCAGATGTATATATGTATTCAGATATATATATATATAAATCTTAGAATGGTAATTGGGCCATCCTCTGCTTTATGGCTGATTTTTGTAAATACTGCTGTATGTAAGGAACRGTCCAGTTCCTTTCATACAATTGCTGTCTTTCTAGTATTGCCCAGGAGCATCACATCAGGTGGGTTCATTACGCTGAGCATCTCAAATAGCTGCTTTCCATTTCAGCAAGACTTACACTATGCTCTGAATTATAGGAAGTCCTATGAAAGCCATTGGAAAGGATTTCCTATGGAAGATGCCATTTTCATCAGACTCATTAAGGTGAGTGGAAATAAATCACTAATAATTCTCTTATCTGGTACAGTAAATATCTATTAGCAATACTGCAGGGTTTTGAAGGTCTGATCTTGGTCTTGGTTTTGATTCCTGGAATGAATCAGGTCTGGCCTAGCTGAGAAGATTACAGGCAGGGAGGCAGCCAGGCATTTAAACAAACTGAAGCCAAATGTAAACAACCTTCTTAAGTCATTTTTATTAGAAGTAGTGTGTATGAAGCCCTCTGAGTCTGGTGAAAAACTTGGCAATTTGTTTTGGAGCAGGGCGGTGTGAGGTCAGTAATCTGCCTGTCAAAAGTCAGAGTTTGAATGTGCTCCATAGCTATAAAAAAAATTGTTTGAAAATTTATGCAGGAATCCCTCTTTGGAGCAGGTGCAAAGGGGTGAGGGGTTTCAAGCTGCCCCTCAGTCTGCTTAGGTCTCCACCCGGAGCCTCCTCTGTACTTCACCAAGCCTTCACAGAAATACTTTCTAAAGTGCTTTGCTCTATGGGCATAGTGAGGAGTAACTAACAGCTGGTGAGAACCACCAGATTAGGTAAGCCAAAAGGTACAGTAGCACTGAAAAGTTCTTGGGAGATGTGGGACGCCGTTACCATTGCTGAGCATGATGGCAGGAGGACCATGATGGCCGTGCATGGCTCTGCTTTGATATGACTGTAACATATTCTGTTATCATGTGGTAGATAAGCTGTGGCTTGCTAAAATTGATCAGTRGTCAGTAACAAGCTCAGGAAAAAGTGTAAGAACCAGGGAAATGTGGAATGGTCCCTTTCATGGATGTCCTCCCAGCCATCAACTAGCTGTGATTCAGGGATTCCCTAAGCTGAAGAATGAATTTGGATCAAGTTCATTTATTTTAATTTATTTTTTAGAGCATTTACATTTCTAGTCTCCAGAACAGTCTGGAACCTATAGAGTTGTG